AAAAAAAAAAAAAAAGAAAAAAAAGAAACTGTGTCTTCAAAAAAGAAAAAGAAAAAACAGGCGACTGCAACCGAGGGCTCAGATTCTCATAAAAAGAGACCAGACACACGTACACGGAAACCCGGAGAGAGGCAGACAGGATCCTGGCGGCAGAGGGACGGAGGGAAAGGGGACCCCGGGGCGGGAAAGGCGCAGAGCCCGAGCGGGCGGCGGCGGGGCAGGGCGGGTGTCCCGGCAGAGGGCGCGCGGTCGCCCTGTCGCCCTCCGCCCCGCCGGGGTCACGGCGCCCCCTCCCCCGCGCCCTGGCCGCCCTGCCTGGCTATTTTTACGCGCGGACACCGGACACCGGGCTGGGGCTGGGGCGGCGGCGGCGGCGGCGGCGGCCGAGGCGGGGCCGCACCGGGCCGGGCATCGGGGCCACACGTCCGTTCGCGGGTCGCCGGGGCTGCGCGCGCCATGGAGCCGCGGTGCCCGCCGCCGTGCGGCTGCTGCGAGCGGCTGGTGCTCAACGTGGCGGGGCTGCGCTTCGAGACCCGGGCGCGCACGCTGGGCCGCTTCCCGGACACGCTGCTAGGGGACCCCGCGCGCCGCGGCCGCTTCTACGACGACGCGCGCCGAGAGTACTTCTTCGACCGGCACCGGCCCAGCTTCGACGCGGTGCTCTACTACTACCAGTCGGGCGGCCGGCTGCGGCGGCCGGCGCACGTGCCGCTGGACGTCTTCCTGGAGGAGGTGGCCTTCTACGGGCTGGGCGCGGCGGCCCTGGCGCGCCTGCGCGAGGACGAGGGCTGCCCGGTGCCCCCCGAGCGCCCCCTGCCCCGCCGCGCCTTCGCGCGCCAGCTCTGGTTGCTCTTTGAGTTTCCCGAGAGCTCGCAGGCCGCGCGCGTGCTCGCCGTGGTCTCCGTGCTGGTCATCCTCGTCTCCATCGTCGTCTTCTGCCTCGAGACGCTGCCTGACTTCCGCGACGACCGCGACGGCCCGGGGCTCGCCGCGGTGGCCGCAGCCGGCCCGGTGAGAGGCGGGGCGTGGGTGGAGGCGGGCGGGGTTTGGGAGGAGATGGGCGGGGTCGAGGGGGACCTGGCCAATCATAAGGCGGGGCCAGGGGCTGCGAGGGGTGGGTCAGCCAAAGACAGGGTGGGCTGGAGGCGGGGCCCGAGGATCCCAGTCCGAGCACCTGCCGGGTCAGAAGGTGGGGTTGAGGACGGTGAGAAACCCCGCGTGCCGAGGGAAGGGCCCTTGGTGCAAGGGTTAGGAGGACAGTAACATTAAAAATCAGAGCTGAGGGGGCCAAGGAGAGCCTGAAAGCTCCGGGGTCTGTGCAGCTGGGAAGGATGGGCTGGAGTTGATGAAAGGCAGGCCCCGAGAACACTGCTGAGGGTGCTGGAGCCCAAGGAGCAAGAGTAGGAGGAATCCATGGAAGGAAAGCCGGGCTGAGGGACCAGAGGAGGGGCCTAGGGCTTGGCTTGCACAGAAGGTCTTTTTTTGTTGTTGTTTTTTTGAGACGGAGTCTCGTTCTGTCGCCCAGACTGGAGTGCAGTGGTGCGACTTCAGGTCACTGCCACCTCCGCCTCCCGGGTTCAAGCGATTCTCCTGCCTCAGCCTCCCGAGTAGCTGGGACTACAGGTGCACACCACCACACCCAGTTAATTCTTGTATTTTTAGTAGAGACAAAGTTTTACTATCCTGGCCAGGCTGGTCTCGAACTCCTGACCTCAGGTGATCCTCCTGCCTCGGCCTCCCAAAGCGCTGGGATTACAGGTGTGAGCCACTGCACCTGGACGTAGAGAAGGTCTTTAAGCGTTATAATCTGGGCTGGGATTGGGGAAGGCAAGGAATAGCTAGGCAGGAGGTGGTGGGGTCAGGGCAGGGACCCTCCCCATCTAGAAAATCAATACTGGAGATGGGACTTTGGGAGAGAAGAGGTTGCACCCTACTCAGACATAAGTTCCCTCGCATGAAGGGGCAGGGACCACCTCTCCAGCCACCACCAGGTCAGGAAACCAGAAAGTTCATCCAGGGATGATCCCTGGGGTCCTGGGAGGAAGTCTGGGGCAACCAGGTCACTGGGGACATCGGTGCAGCGGCTACTGACCAACATGTAAAGAGGAGTTGGGTATTTAAACGATGATTAAGGCTCTCCCAGTGTCCCAGCCCTGGCCTGGCCCTCCCTAAACACTTTCCTCCCTGCAGTTCCCTGCTCGGCTGAATGGCTCCAGTCTAGTGCCTGGAAATGCGCCCCGCCTGCCCTTCAACGACCCGTTCTTCGTGGTGGAGACGCTGTGCATTTGCTGGTTCTCCTTTGAGCTGCTGGTGCGCCTCCTGGCTTGTCCAAGCAAGGCGATCTTCTTCAAGAATGTGATGAACCTCATCGATTTTGTGGCTATCCTTCCTTACTTTGTGGCGCTGGGCACTGAGCTGGCCCGGCAGCGAGGGGTGGGCCAGCCGGCCATGTCACTGGCCATCCTGAGAGTCATCCGATTGGTGCGTGTCTTCCGCATCTTCAAGCTGTCCCGGCACTCCAAGGGCCTGCAGATCTTGGGCCAGACGCTTCGGGCCTCCATGCGTGAGCTGGGCCTCCTCATCTTTTTCCTCTTCATCGGTGTGGTCCTCTTTTCCAGCGCGGTCTACTTTGCTGAAGTCGACCGGGCGGACTCCCATTTCACTAGCATCCCGGAGTCCTTCTGGTGGGCAGTGGTCACTATGACTACAGTTGGCTATGGAGACATGGCACCCGTCACTGTGGGTGGCAAGATTGTGGGCTCTCTGTGTGCCATTGCCGGCGTGCTGACCATTTCCCTGCCTGTGCCCGTCATTGTCTCCAACTTCAGCTACTTTTATCACCGGGAGACAGAGGGCGAAGAGGCCGGGATGTACAGCCATGTGGACACGCAGCCTTGTGGCCCCTTGGAGGGCAAGGCCAATGGGGGGCTGGTGGATGCGGAGGTACCTGAGCTACCACCTCCACTCTGGGTGCCCCCAGGGAAACGCCTGGTCACTGAAGTGTGAAGGACAGTTGAGGTCTGGGGGACCTCACACCTCCTTAGAGGGAGGGAGGGAGGGCAGGGTGGAGGGAAAGGCTTGTGGGAGGGGATTGGGTTTAGGAAGAGCTAGGTTAAGTGGTAATGAGTGGGAGAACGCTGAGTCTTGCTGGGTCTTGGATGGTATGGTTCGGTAGCTCCTGTGGACACCTCCTTAAGTGGCAGCGAATGGCAGTGGGTTGTGTTGTGTTGATGAAGACTCGATGGAGCCTTGTGGGGTGGTGTCAAGGTAGGTTTGGTCATATCATTTTGTGAGTTTCCTGGGTCGATGTTGGGTTTGGTTGGGTTGTGAGTCTGGGTCAGTGTTGTCCGGCTGTATTGCGTGGGATTCTGTGGTTTGGTGGGTCCCCTGGGGCCATGGTGGGTCAAGTTAGATGGCCCCCCGTGGCATCATTGAGATTGATTGTGCAGTCAGGCGTGGTGCTGAGTTTCGTTGAGATGTGGTGGAGATTGCGCAGCTTTGTGGTTCTTCTAGGGCCATGTTATTTTAGGTTCTGTGAACTTGTGAGTCATGTAGAAATGTGAAGAGTCAAGTGATAGAATTTGAGCTTTCCAGGTCACACTGGGTTACGTGTGTATGAGCGAATGCATCTCGTAGGGTTCTGTTGGGCTGAATTGTGTAGAGGTGTGCGGCTGGACGTTTTTCAAGGCCACAGGGAGTCGAGTTGTGTTGAACTGTACAACCCTGTGAGCCTTGTAAGGCCAGTTCAGTTGGGTCATGCCACTGTTTCAATCTCATAGAGCCATGTTGAGTTGAGTTCCATTGAGTTGTATCACTATGTGAGTCCTATAGGAAGCTGGGTTGAGTTGGACTGTGTGAATGAGTTCCATAGGGCTACATTGGGTTGTTCTGAGTTTCGTGTAAGCACCAGGACCCAAAGGTAATAGCAGCAGGGGAGCATCATATATCAGGGAGCAAATGCCGTGGCAAGGGCTGTAGGAGACTTAACGGAACTGGCTCCCCAGCTCACCGTGGGAGGTAGGACTGCATTCTCCTCAGAGGCGATCGGGGTGAACTAGGAAGAGGTGGATGCTCCCCCCGTTTATCCACATCCACTTCGTTGTGCCGTTCACCCCATTCTCCCCTACAGTCTTATGCTCAGACATGGAGCTCAGAGCCCCAAGGGAAGGAGGAGAGAGGGAGAAAACTGCACTCTGTTCAGACGTGATAGAGGGACAGAACCAAAAGTATAGGGAGAGAGACCAGGCGAGGGACAGAGACCCAGAAAGCGAAAGAGATGGAAGCCCAGAGAGACAGAGACCCAAGGCAGAGGAACAGAGACTCAGGGAGAGGGAGACAAGGACCTGGAGCGGGGGTGGAGCAGAGACGCAGAAGAGGGGAACAGATATCCAGAGTGAGAAGGTGATAGAGACCAAGAGCAGGGGATAGAAGCCGGGTGAAGTGGCTCATGCCTGTAATCCCAGCACTCTGGGAGGCCAAGGAAAGGGGATTGCTTGAGGCCGGGAGTTCAAGACCAGCCTGGGCAACATAGTGAGACCCTATCTCTACAAAAAATACAAAAATTAGCTGAGTGTGGTGGCGTGTGCCTGTGATCCCAGCCACTCAGGAAGCTGAGGTGGAGGGATCCCTTGAGCCTGAGAGGTAGAGGCTGCATTGAGGTAAGATTGAACTGCTGCACTCCAGCCTGGGTGACAGAGCGAGACCCCATCTCAACAAACAAACAAACAAACAAAAGAGTGGGGGGATAGAGACCCAGAGGGCAGTGTCAGGCTAGAGTTGGAGACAGATCAACAGAGTCTCAGGGAAAGAGAACCAAAATAGAAAAAGGCAGAAAAGCCGGGCGCGGTGGCTCACGCCTGTAATCCCAGCACTTTGGGAGGCTGAGGTGCGCAAGAGATCGAGACTATCCTGGCCAACACGGTGAAACCCATCTCTACTAAAAAATACAAAAATTAGCCGGGCGTGGTGGCGGATGCCTGTAGTCCCAGCTACTCGGGAGGCTGAGGCAGCAGAATCGCCTGAACCCAGGAGGTGGAAGTTGCAGTGAGCTGAGATCCCGCCACTGCACTCCAGCCTGGTGACAGAGCAAGACTCAGTCTCAAAAAAAAAAAAAAAGAAAGAAAGAAAGAAAGACAAAAAAAGGCAGAAAAAGTTGGTGCCCCTGAACCCAAGAGTCACGCACAGTCTATTCCATAGAATCACAGAGTGACCCTAAACCAGGCATGTAGCCCACCCTCCCCGAGCTCAGGAAGGCTGTCAGACAAGCTGGGGGCCTCACTCTGTTTTCCCGGGGAGAAACCTGAGTCTCAGAGCAGAGGAGTGGCTTCCCAAGGTCTCACAGCTTGTCCCCAGGGGCCAGGGAGGCTGTCTGTCTGCTTCACATGTCCCCGTCAGCCTGCTGGGACACACAGGTCCTCCTGAGTCCCATAGCCTCCTTTCTTACAGACAGGGAAACTGAGGCTCAGAGGAGCACATGTTACCCAAGGTCACAAGGCTGAACATTTTCAGAAGTCTTTCAGAGCTCAAAGGGCATTTAAGGGAGGAGGAGGAAGGTTGAAATCAAACACATATAGGGCTTCCTTTGGCACAAAGTTCTTTACTTGGATTAATTTATTAAAACCTATCCAGTGGTTTAGAGTGTTGGTGTTATTTTTAGCCATACCCACCCCTTTTTGGGGTCAAATAAATCTTCCTTAGAGACGCCGGTGGGAAGCATCAGAAGGGAAATGGTTGGGGGAGAACCCGCCCCCTCTCGGCAAGTCAAAACGCAGAGCAGGAATTCACGCGGAAAGCACTGGTTTCATCTGAGTCCCTTTTCACGCAGCTAAAGAGATGAAGGTACAGATGGTAGAAAGAGTTTGATCATGGTTGAAATGAATAGAAGCTTTAGCTAGTCACTTGTCTATGAAATGGAGAGAAAGCCACATTTAGGGACAGAATGGAGACAGACCTCACAGTAACAAGAGACAAGGTGGACTCCAGCACAGAGACCTAAAGAGAAGGAGACTCAGAGAGGAACCCAGGCCCAGGAAGGAGTAGGGGCTCAGAGCAAAAGAGAGAAAGCCAAAGGCGAGGGGGAAGAGGGTAGATGGCGAGGAGTGGGGACAGAGGCCCCCACGAGGGGAAAGGGAAGCAGACAGTGACCCCAACAGAGAGGATGCAAGAGACTCAGGGAGGAGACTGGGACCCAGAGAGGGTGGACAGATAACCAGAGAGAAGAAAACTGGGACGCAGAAAGTGGGGGACAGAGACCCAGAGAGATGGGGGACAGAGACCCAGAGAGGGGGACAGAGACCCAGAGAGAGAGGGGGACAGAGACCCAGAGAGAGAGAGGGACAGAGACCCAGAGAAAGAAAGACAAACCCAGGGTTGGAGGGAGACAAATCCAGAGAGAAGGGGACAGATACCTAGAGAGAGGGGGACAGAGACCTGGAGATAGGGGACAGAGACTGTTTCCCAGTCACTCTGGAAACTTCATATGTACTATCCCCTCCAGGACTAGGAGTTAGAAGCTTGAGTCCTTCTGCTATGTGGCAGGGTGTATTGGGTGTTCAGGGACGGGGAAGTGTGGAGAAGTCTGAGAGGTGACCTGAACACACACCCAAAGCCTGGGTAGTGCCCCCCCCCCCCCGCCAATAAATAACTGGAGCGGCCTTGGGTGTCGCCCTGGCTGGGATGGTGAGGAGCAGGAAACACCCTAACCCGGGGACACCCTCCTGCCACCTTGCCATGCTATATTTAGGCTGGGGGGGGCGGGATGACCCCCGGGGCAGGTGTCAGTTTTCCTTCTGAAAATAGCGCAGGCGGAGGGGAGCGGAGTCTCAGGGTGGAGGTGTGATGGGGTGAGGGGCCCCGCAGACCTCTTGTCTCTCCGGAGACACTCCAGCTCCGGTCCCATCCCTGTCTTTCTGAGGGTCTCTCAGGGGCTCTGTCCCCCTCTTTTGGGGGCTCTGCCCTCACTCTCCCTGGGTCCCCGCTCTCTCTAGCCTTGGTCCCCCTCTTTCTCTGGGTGTCTCCCCACTTTTCCATGCCTTCTCCCATCTCTCCCTTCATCTGTCACCGTGCACCATTTCTGGAAGCAGTTCATTCTGTTCTTAAGACACATTTTTGTTTACCTCTGGGCCCTATGATACCCTGCAGGTCTCTTATCTGAGCTCAGGACAAGGCCCTCTCCCCGGTCCCCACCCAGGAAATTCCAGGGGAGAGGAGTAGGCGGGAGCCCCCACATCCACTGTCTCCCCGGGCCTGGGGCCTTATCACTGCCCAAGCCCAGCTGGTTAATGTCTAGCGTGGAGCTCCTGGGAAGTGGGGGGGAGAGCAGAGGGTGGGAATCTGCCCCGGGATTGACACGCAATTGGCAAAAGGCGGCAAAGGAATCTCAGGCCCAGACTCCTGGGGCTAATGGAGGAGGAGGCTGGGGGCTGGACTCCAGAGTCTGAGACGGGGCGGGGTTGGGAGTTGGTGGGGGGAACTGTGGGCTCAGTACTCAGGCTCCTGGGGCCGGGGAGAGAAGTGGCTGGGGTCGCAAGTCCCGGGTCTGAGGGAGGAGGGGCTGCGGGTCTGGACTCCTGAGTTTGAGGGAGGAGGGGCTGGGGACCTGGGCTCCTAGGTCTGAGGGAGGAGGGGCTGGGGGTCTGGGCTCCTGGGTCTGAGGGAGGAGGGGCTGGGGGCCTGGACTCCTGGATCTGAGGGGGGACGCGGCTGGAGGCCGGGACTCCTGGGACCGAGGCGGCCGGGCTGAGCGAGCCAGGCCTGGCTTCCAAGGTCCCGGCACGCGTGTGCAAGGCAGGATCCCCCGGCCCCTCCTCCGCCGTCGGGCGCCGCCCCGCCCCCGACCCGGGCCCTGCCGAGCGAGAGCGGAGAGGAGCCGGCGGGCCAGCGGGCGTCCCTGCAGCCAGCGAGCAGGAGGAGGAGCTGCTGCCGAGCCGAGGGCAGCCGGGGGAGCCGAGGAGGGCGCCCCAGGTAAGAGCTCCGCGCCTCCTCCCGCGGGATTCCGGCGTCCAGGTCGCCCTGCCCTCGGGTGGGGAGGGACGGGGGCGGGGCCGACGGGGGCGGGGCTTGGCGGAGGAAACTGAGGCAGGAGGGGAAGTGTCCCAGAGATGCAGCCGGCTTCCCCCAAGGGGTCTCAGGAGTCCAGACCCCCAACCCAAATCTGGAGGATGAAGAACTCGGAGTCCGCATTTCCTAGTACCCGAGAAGGAGAAGCCTGAATTCCAGAACTCCTGGGTCTGAGTGGAGGGCGCTGGGAGCCTGGACTCCTCCTGGGTCTGAGGGAAGAGGGCGCTGGGGACCTGAACTCCTGGGTCTGAAGGTGGAGGCCCGGGATCTGCACTCCTGAGTCTGAGGGAGAAGGCGGTCCTTCTTGGGTCAGCCTGCGCGCCTTTCACTCCCCACCCTTCCCCTTTCCCTACCGAGGAGCCAGGGCAGGCAGCCACTCCAGGTATGTGCAGAAGTCTTGGGCGGGCCCTGGCCTGTCCTGTGAGGAGGGAACATTCCAGGAAGCAGCTTGGGGACCCAGGGCTTCTTGAGTGTGGGCCCTCAGGGACCCGGGTGTCCAGGACAGTTCCGCCCCATCTGGGAGATGAATGGGCTGGGGGGATGTAATGTCTTCTAGCTTCCTTCATCCACTGCCTCTCCCCTCCCCTCCCTCCATCTGCTTCCCATCCCAGCCAGGAGCCATCACCTGGTTAGAAAAGGGGCCTCTGGAAAGGGGGCGGGGCCTTGACTCTTGGGTACCCTGCGCTTGAAAAGGAATTCTGGGAAGAGGCTTTTCAGGGACCCCGCCCCTTCCCCACCTGCCTCTATAACCTGTCTGTTCTTTTCTTCTCCTAGGTGGTTGCCCCCTCCCTCTCCTGAGATGTCAGGAAGGAGGGGGCCACCGGTGTCCTCCACAGGGGCCCCCCGGAGTCTGGGGGCTCCCAGCCCCACAGCTTGGAGGTGGAGGAGGTGTTGACAGGTCTGGTCACCATGGCTGTTTCCCAGTCTTCTACACAGCACCCTTTCCCAGAGCCACAGGCTTCCAGAATGATGCAGAGAAATTGCAATGTCCATGCCTCTACCCAGCTCTGACCCAGTGCCAGGTCAATTTCACACACAGGGAAACTGACGCCTGCCTCAGACGGGCAGGATTTTACCTCCTTAGTAGCAGTTTTGAGGTGAACTGGGGTCTTCCTAGGATTCCAGATTGTGGCCTTTCTCAACATTTTGGAATGTGTCCAAGACGTGGCAGCTTCAGTCTGTAGTCCCAGCTACTCAGGAGCCGCAGCAGCAGGATTGCTTGAGCCCAGGAGTTCAAGTCCAGCGGGGAACCATAAAGAGGCCTCATCTTAAAAAAATTTGTTTGGGGCCAGGCGCAGTGGCTCCAGCGCTTTGGGAGCCCAAGGCAGGAGGATTGCCTGAGGCAGGGAGTTCGAGACCAGTCTGGCCAACGTGGTGAAATCCTGTTTGTACTAAAAATACAAAAATTAGCTGGGCATGGTGTTGGGCACCTGTAATCCCAGCTACTCAGGATGCTGAGGCAGGAGTGCAGTGGTGCAATCTCTGCTCACTGCAATGTCTGCCTCTGAGATTCAAGTGATTCTCCTGCTTCAGCCTTCCGAAGCACGCCCAGCTAATTTTTGTATTTTTAGTAGAGATGGGGTTTCACCATGTTGGCCAGGCCGGTCTCGAACTCCTGACCTCAATTGATCCACCCACCTCAGCCTCCCAAAATGCTGATATTACAGGCGTGAGCCACAGCACCTGGCCAGTAGTAGTTGAATATTAATTATTAATCTACAAGTTGGGCATTACACAAGTCCTAGATATAGGGTCCTTCAAACATCTGGAACAATGGCTTCCCCACAGTCCAAGCAGGCAAGCCTCCCCTGGGGTTCCCAACTTCTGTCCCCACTGACGTTTTTTACCTCCTTCTCTAATCCCAGCCTCCCTCTGTCTGTCTCCAGGTGCTCCAAGAGATGCTCCTTCTGCCCCCATGCTCCCTCCCCATCCTCTTCCTCTCCCTCCTCCCCAGTATGCCAATGGAGTCCCAACCCCCACCCTCGACATTGCCCCCTTTCCTGGCCCCGGAGTGGGACCTTCTGTCTCCCCGAGTGGTCCTGTCTAGGGGTGCCCCTGCTGGGCCCCCTCTGCTCTTGCTGCTGGAGGCTGGGGCCTTTGGGGAGTCAACAGGCACCCCGGCCAACCGCAGCCGGCGTGGGGTGAGCGAAACTGCACCAGCGAGTCGTCGGGGAGAGCTGGCCGTGTGTGATGCAGTCAGTGGCTGGGTGACAGACCGTCGGACGGCTGTGGACCTGCGTGGGCGTGAGGTGGAGGTGTTGGGCGAGGTGCCTGCAGCTGGTGGCAGTCCCCTCCGCCAGTACTTCTTTGAAACCCGCTGCAAGGCTGATAGCGCTGAGGAAGGTGGCCCGGGGGTGGGTGGAGGGGGCTGCCGAGGTGTGGATCGGAGGCACTGGGTGTCTGAGTGCAAGGCCAAGCAGTCCTATGTGCGTGCATTGACTGCTGATGCCCAGGGCCGTGTGGGCTGGCGATGGATTCGAATTGACACTGCCTGTGTCTGCACTCTCCTCAGCCGGACTGGCCGGGCCTGAGGCCCATGCCCAGGAAATGGTCAGGCAGGAAAAGATCAGAGTTGAATGCTGAGAGACCTCAGGGGTGGCCCAGCTGCTCCAAGGACTCCAGTTTGGGAACTCATCAAATGATCACAAAATCGCAAGTCTCTGATTTTGAGCTCAATCTGTGTAGGATGGGTGAAACCACATGGGGTTTTGAAGGATGAATAGGAGTTCTCCCAGAGGACCTTGAGGGCAATAATGATGATGGTGATAATAATATCAGCCAATATTTACTGAGTGTTTACTGTTTCTTAGTCCTAATACATAACTCCTCAGATCAACTCTCATGGATTTGATCATTGGTGGCCCTTGGGGTTAAGTTGCTGACTACTCAGTCTCAGAGGACACCACCTTGCTCATCCTGGAGAGGGGGAGGGGACATTTCAAGATGTGGGTCGGGGAGGATAGAACCTGGAACATGCAAGCAGCTGGCCAGGGGACCTTGAGAATATGATCCACAGAAGGCCTTCAGGGATCTGGGGTTCAAATGGGAAATCTTACTTGGTGAGAGAACACGGGGGCTGGCTTAGAATATTCTGTTTTGAGGTAATGAGCCACCCATCCCAAGGGGAGTACAAGCAAGGTTGAATGAGAAGTGATCAGGATGCTGGAGAATACAGCCCCGGGCAGGGAGCTGGAATCAGGTTTTTACCCCTTTTCCCTGTCCCAACCTTTACCCTACATTGGGAAAGAAATAGATCTCAAAATTGTCCAGCCTGATGGCCATGCGCACCATGGCTCACGCCTGTAATCCCAGCACTTTGGGAGGCTGAGGTGGGTCCTGACTTGAGGTCAGGAGTTCGAGACCAGCCTGGCCAACATGGTGAAACCCCATCTCTACTAAAATTATTTTTAAAAATTGGCTGGGCATGGTGGCAGGCAGAAGCTACCCAGAAGGCTGAGGCAGGAGAATCGCTTGAACCCGGGAGGCAGAGGTTGCAGTGAGACAAGGGCATGCCATTGCACTCCAGCCTGGGCAAAAACAGCAAAATTCCATCTCAAAAAAAAAAAAAAATTGTCCAGCTTGAGTGGGACATGAGGTTCTAACTGGTCTGCCCCCTGGCTAGGATCAGGGGCCACTGGGCATTGGCAGCCTTTGAGCGGGTCCAGCAAAATCCAACAGAAGGGGCCCCAGAATCCTCAGTGGGGGAGGAGGGATCAGTAAGATTCTGGGCCTGGCTGCAGAAGGTAGCCTCAGTTTTCCTGGTCTGACGAATGGGCTGGTGGGATGAGATAATGGGGCTCGAGGAGGCAGAAGCCTTGGCCAAAAGCTCTTTTTTTTTTTTTGAGCCAGCGTCTTGCTCTGTCGCCCAGGCTGGAGTGCAGTGATGCGATCTTGCGATCTGAGCTCACTGAATCGTTCACCTCCCAGGTCAAGCAATTCTCCTGCCTTAGTTGGGATTACAGGGGTGTGCCACCATGCCTGGCTAATTTTTGTATTTTTTTGGTAGAGGCAGGGTTTTGCCATGTTGGCCGGGCTGGTCTCAAAACTGCTGACCTCAAGTGATCTGCCTGCCTCAGCCTCCCAAAGTGCTGGGATTACAGGCGTGAGCCACTGCACACAATGACCAAAAGCTCTTTATAGTGAAGAAGTGACAAGGGAAGCCAGGGACAGACCACATGCCCCACGTGTTGCCAACACACACACACACACACACACACACACACACTCTCTCTCTCTCTCTCTCTCTCTCTCTCTTTCTCTCAGGTCCAGCATCCAGCTTTGAACAAAGGACATAGGCATCCCCTCCCCCGATCTACACGGACCAGGCCCCGGGGTGGGGTGGGGCCTGGCTGCCTCGGTTTCTACATCTTTTCCTTTTCCATCTGTGATTTTGCTCTTTTTTGCCACCTTCATCTCTGCCTAACTCCCAGTGTCTCTGCCTCTGGATTAGTATTAATAGCTTTCTTTCCATCATAGTCAGTTTCTTCCTCACTGTCTCTCCTTCTTTCTTGTTGTATTTCTTTCTCACTCATCAAAGCTCTTTCCACACACCCCTCTTTTTTGCTATGTCCCTGTGCACTTCTCCGTGGGTCTCTCCATCTTTGCCCACCCTGCCTTCCCAGGTGGAAGTTTTCAACCAAATCAAAGGCAGGCAGGAGAGCCGACGCCAGCCTGACTCCTTCAGCACGTGCGGGGAGGGTGGGGGAGCCCCAGGATGTCTGGAAATCGTTACCTCGAGGTGGGTAGGCCTGGCAGAGGGAGGAAGCAGCACGGAGCATCTGAACCCTGGAGGAGAGGGAGGGGGTGTTTCTCATGGATGCCCGGATGTGCTGGGTGCAGTGCAGGGGTCTCTGTCCCTCTTTCTGGGTCTCTTGTCTCCTCCACCCCCTGGGTCTTTGAAATTCTGAACTCCTTCCCCTTCTGCCCTCCTCGCCTTGAGTCTCCATCTCCCTCCCCGTGTTGTTCTGTGGCCCTCCTGGGGTCCCAGTCCCTCGTCTCTGGGTCTCTTTCTCACTCTTCCCATCCACATGCCTGCAGGCCCTTCATTGGCTGGGTTCAGGGTGAGCGGGTTCTGTCACCCGGGGCAACAGCAACAACAAGCCAGCTCCTGCTTGGCTCCGGGATGGGGTGGAACCATGGCCAGTGGCACCCGGGCTCCGTGCTGTGGCCCCCCGTGGCCTCCCATCTCTGCCACCGAGGTGCCTGGATCCGGGCCCAACTGGAATCTCACCAGCAGCTGGGTTGCCCACCGCATCATCCCACCCGCGCCCTTCCCCCCGCCGACGGTGCAGGTGCGCGGACTCTAGGCTGAAGCCCTGCGGGGCCTGAGGACCTAGAAAGCTGGGTGCTGAGTAAAGGGGATTGGGGACCAACTGGAAGAGGTCAGAGTTTGGGGTGGAGGGTGACACGGACTCCTGAGCCTTCCTAGCTGATGCGCAGCACCTTCTCTCCAGTCCACGGTCGCGGACCCTCTACCCCCGGCTGCAAAGCAGGATTCGCGCATCTGGGCTTTTGACGAGGTCCTCAGCAGATGGGAGACAACCTCTGGCTCGGCCTACGTGCCCAAGACCCATGGCGGGCCCTGCGCCCAACCCAGAGCCCCAGAGCCTGCAGACCCCACGCGGACTGTGGGGATCAAGGATTTAGGAGAAAAGGTAAGGTTTGGGGGGTGCCGGAGTCCGCAGGGGATAGGCAGGAGGCTGCATTTCAGTCCCCTGCGCCTTCACTTGGGTCTCCTGCTCACCTCTCTGCAGCTCAGACACCGCGGCTGGCGCCTCCCACTGACCACAAAGTACCAGAGCAGCGAGACGAAGGCGCAGTACACGGGCTATCCCGGCCGGGACCCACGCGCCCCGGAATACGTCGGGCTCCAGCCCCCGCAGCTCGCAGACCATCACCGAGGGGGGCCTTCCCAGGTGGCTGGATGAAGGCCTGCGCCGGCGAGACGGGGCGGAGCTTGGGGAACCTGGGGCGGGGCCAGAAGGAATCACGGCTTTGGGGCGTGGCCTCGAGGCGGGGCCAGAAGGACCAGTGAGCTGGAAACTCGCCTTCTGGTCTCCGAAACTCTGGCGAAGCTAGGCGGTGGGCTGTGGATGGGGACGAGACTAGAATATTCTGAGACGGGGTCGGGTGGGAGTTGGGAGAGGTAACGTGGAGTTTTTGCCCCAGATGCGGCTCAGCTCCAGTGGCCACACCAAGAAAGCTTGGGGCCGGGGGCGGAACCAGGGAGGTTTATTTGGTGGCTGGGGGGATGGGTTTGAGTTCCTTGACCAGCAGGACGTGTTTGGATTTGGGGAGATGAGGCTGGGAAGGGCGGGTTTGAGGAAGAAAGCTTTAGTGACCTGGCGTGGGTGGCAGGAAGGGCTCTGCCTCTGGGGCAGTCTGCGAGGGCTGGGGCCGGCAGGGCTGTCCGGGCAGAAAGAGAGGAATTCTGAACCCGGGACCCAGGTCTTGGAACGAGATACAAACTCTGTCTTGGGTATGCCTCCTTCCCCAATCTTCCTCAGGCTCTAATTCCCTGGACGAAGAACCCTGAGCTGTCTGGCTGGCCTTTCATTGTATCCGACCGGGGCGTCCTGGCCCGCCGGCAGCTCTATCTGACCACCTCGGCGCGGGACTTTCGGTTTTATCCCAAGTAAGCCAGGCCTTCGCTAGACACCGTCTCCGGCACAGCCCCCGCCTAGACCAGTGCACGCCAAGCCCCTGGTGTGGCTCCCATTCTCTGACTCGGTAGCCTCAGCCTCGACTCCTGCACCAGCAAGAACCAAAATTCAGGCCCCAGCCCCTCTTTTTTTTTTTTTTTTTTTCGAGACGGAGTCTCCCTCTGTCACCTGGGCTGGAGTGCAGCGGCTGGATCCCGGCTCACTGCAACTTCCATCTCCCGGATTCAAGCGATTCTCCTGCCTCAGTCTCCCGAGTACCTGGGACTACAGGCGCGCGCCACCACGCCTGGCTAATTTTTGTATTTTTAGTAGAGATGGGGTTTCACCACATTGGCCAGGATGATCTCGAACTCCTGACCTCGTGATCCGCCCGCCTCGGCCTCCGTACTGAGATTACAGGCGTGAGCCAAGGCGCCTGGCCAACTTTTTGTATTTTTAGTAGAGACGGGGGTTTCACCGTGTTAACCAGGATAGTCTCGATCTCCTGACCTCGTGATCCGCCCGCCTCAGCCTCCCAAAGCGGAGGGATTACAGGCGTAAGCCACCGCGCCCGGCCGCCCCTCTCTCTTTTAGCAGCCGGGAGTCTTTAATGTCAACTCTCAGGAACCGCGGTAGGGACAGAGGGGATTCTGCATCAGAGGGCAGGGCCTCCTTCGGTACTTGAGCCCCAGACACTCCTTCCCAAGGAAGCGAAAGCCCCCGTTTCCTTCCCTAGGATGGGAAAGCTCATTTTCCAGGACCTTAAGTTACCTCGAGGACCCAGGAACCCAGGCTACACGTGCCCGGCCCCGTCCTTCCTAAGGGGTCCTAGCCTCGAAATGCAGGAGTCTGTGTGCAGACTCCTTAGGTCCCGGCGTCTGAACCTCGTCCCCAAGGATCTAGCTGTATCCTTACCGTCCTGCTATGCTCCCACAGGAAGGAGCTGTCGGGATACCCCCGCAAAGACTCCCTGACCTACTGGAGCTTCGAAGAGATGCCCCAGGTCTCGGGGCACGGACCGCAGCAGCCACCCCGACCGCCACGGGTCCGCGTGCCCCGCGCCCGCCCGGTGACTCTGGCCGTGCCGCACCGCGGGGCCTTGTCTCTGGCTCAGGAGTCCTACAGTCTCCCGCTGCACCCGCTCCGCCCGCTCGACCGCTTCTGCCTGCTGGAGGCGCCCTGGAGCGGCCCCCACTGGAAACCCCTGCCGGGCATCCACAGCGTGCCGAAAGCCTACAGCGCCGAGAACTCCAGCTACGGCAGCTTAAAGCCGGCGCTGGTGTGAGCTGGCCCGGCAAGCCCCGCCCCGGACACGCCCCCTGGACAGAGGGGCGGAGCCGACCCGGGAAGACCCGGATCCGGGCTCGCTGGGTGGGGCCGAGCTCGGGAGCTCCGCCCACTACACGGGGTCTCGACCGAGCCTGGGTCACACTCACTATCGGCAATGTGCGGGCGGGACTAGCCCAGACACGCCCCGCGGCTTCGTGGGGAGGGGGCTAAGTCCAGAAAATGTTCATGCAGGCTGTGGCCCCGCGGGCAGGACACGCCCCCTGCGGGTGTTTTAAATAATGAGTTAAATAACCTGAACCACGCTCATTTCTGGGCATCCTGGCTTGAGAGTGGTGTGGGAGAAGGTTCCTAAGGGAGAAGTGGGGCTCGGGCTGAATCCCTCGTTGGTGAGTATCTGGGTCCAGGGGCTCCCCTCGCAGCAGTCTCGCGGAGGCCCTGTTGGACACCGAACAGGTGTAGAAGCTACACCGAAGCGGCGGCGCTCCTGAGAATCTGGACTGCGGCGCAGGAATGGCTCTGGTGAAGGTGGGTTGACGATTCAGTCTAGCACCTTTCTTGGGTCACGGCCTCCTCCTGGCTTCCCCGCCCCAGGAAGAGACAGGGCGAGGCCTTTCTGTACCCTACTTCCTGTGCCTCCAACGCCGACTCGACTGAGTCTCTGAGGTCACTTCACCGTGGTCTCCGCCTCACCCCTGGCGCTGGAGCGCTCCACTGAGCCACTGCTGCGTCTCCCTGGCCTTGTCTGCCTCCCGCCCCCGGGGGGATTAGTATCCAGGTTACCCCAGGATGCTACCACCACCTGGTGGCCTTGTCGCCCCCACAACCCCGAGGTATAAAGCCAGGTACACGAGGCAGGGGAGGAACCAAGGATGGAGATGCTCCAGGTAAGACTGCAGGGCCCCTGGGTACCTTCCACCTCCCTCCAGGCCATCACTGGCATGAAGAGGGGCAGAGTCGTGTGAGCTGGGGAAGGAGGCCTTTTTCTGGAGGTGTGTGACCCCGCAGTAAGCTTCAGGTGGAGAAGTCCCTGAGGGTGGGGAACTGAAATGTTAGGACATCTCAGGTCCTCTGGGCTGTGGGGTGGGCTTTGGAAGGCAGGTGTCTGGGTGGCAGGTCCTGAATAAGACATGCCAGGCAGGGTCCCTGGGTGCTTGAGGGTGGTGTACCCCTGGGGATGGGCCAAGGCTTAGGGCTTCAGTCTCAGGCCAGGCTGAAGCACCGGTCTTGTCCCAGGGGCTGCTGCTGTGTCTGCTGCTGAGCACAGGTGGGGCATGGGCATCCAAGGAGCCACTTCTGCCGCTGTGCCGCCCCACCAATGTCATGCTGGCTGTTGAGAAGGAGGGCTGCCCCGTGTGCACTGCCTTCAACACCACCATCTGTGCTGGCTACTGCCACAGCATGGTGAGCTGCCTGGGACCAGGGGCAGGTGCTGCCACTTCAGGGTGGGGCCCGCAGAGGCAGTGGGGAAGGGTGTCTGGCTCTCTGGGCAGGGGCTGGAGGGCAGGAACAGAGGACTTCCTGGACATCTGAGTCTGGGACCTGCGGAGGGAGCTGGGGTGCTCAGCTGAGGTGCTGGCCCCCAGACACATGCCCACTTCTCCACCCACATGGCCTCAGATGCGGGTGGTGCCGACTATGCCGGCCTTACCCCAGTCGGTGTGCAACTACAATTCGCTGCGCTTCACCTCCGTCCGGCTCCCTGGCTGTCTGCCCGGCGTGGATCCGGTGGTCTACTTGCCCATGGCTGTCAGCTGTCACTGTGGACTCTGCCGCCGAAAATATTCTGACTGCGGGAGTTTCAGGAACGAGTCCCTGGGCTGTTACCACCCTACCCTCCAGGACGCTTCCTCTAAGGACCCTCCCAGCAACCTTACAAGTCCATCCCAACTCCTGCAGCCAGCAGACACTCCATTAGTCCCACAATAAAGGCTTCTCAATCCGCACTCTGGTTGTGTCTTTCTCTGGAATCAGGGCAACCACACACACACACAGGGTGGGTCCAGCTTCAAAACAACTTTATACAAAGTCACAGTGTCAGAACTCTGGTAGAAAACAGGATGGGGACGGGGGTGACATCCGGCTCAGGAGGTATCCATGGTCTCGCCTTCTATAGGGAGAAAGAAGGCCAGATGGTCAGTGTGGCCCAGAGGGCAGGGCCTGAGCCTTCTAGGCCGAGCTCCCTCTTCCTCCCTCTGGGGGTCGCACTGGCAGTGCAGGTACGGGGTGGGGACGCTTACTGAGCTCATTGAAGAGGAAGGCGTCCTGGTACTCCTTCATGTACTGTGTGGAGCGGGACTCGTCCAGGAAGAGTGAGTAGACTCGCTTGACGTCGTCCACCTGCACCTCTGTGCCCTAGAGGGGGGCAAGTCCTCAGTGGGGATCCTCCTCGTGAGGCCCACAGCACAGACCCCAGCCTGTGCCGCCTCCAGCCCCAGGCAGTAGCGGGTAGCAGGTGAGGGAAGGCATTCGGGGCCAGACTGCCTGTGTTAAAATCCTGCCTGGCTATCCACTGGGTGTGGGCCCAGCCTCTTCATTCCTCAGTTTTTTTCTTTTTTGAGATGGAGTCTTGAATCATGCCCAGGCTGGAGTGCAGTGGAACCATCTTGGCTTACTGCAACCTCCACCTCCCAGATTCAAGCAATTCTCCTGCCTCGGCCTCCTGAGTAGCTGGGACTACAGGCACATGCAACCAGACCTGGCTAATTTTTTGTATTTTTAGTAGAGACAGGGTATCATCGCATTAGCCAGGCTGGTCTGGAACTCTAGACCTCAAGATTTGCCTGCCTTGGCCTCCCAAAGTGCTGGGATTACAGGCATGAGCCACCACCACGCCCGGCCTCCTCTGTTTCTTTATTTGTAAGATGGACCTAACAGCATCTACTTACAGTCAACAGAGATTTAAATGAGCACCTACTTTTTTTTTTTGACATGAAGTTTTGCTCTTATTGCCCAGGCTAGAGTGCAATGGCACGATCTCACTGAACCCTCCGCCTCCCTGGTTCAAGTGATTCTCCTGCCTCAGCCCCTCGAGTAGCTGGGATTATAGGCACATGCCACCACCCACACGGCCTCCAGGCTAATTTTTTGTATTTTCAGGAGAGACGGGGTTTCTCCATGTTGGCCAGGCTAGTCTTGAATTCCTGACCTCAGGTGATGCGCCCGCCTTGGCCTCCCAAATTGCTGGGATTACAGGCATGAGCCATTGCACCTGGTCTTACTGAGCACCTACAATAGGCTAGGCCAGGTGATGCAGAAATCAACCTGAGGAATGAAAATTCCCTGCCCCTGAAAATGTACATTCTAGGATGAAACACGGAACCCCCTGGAAGCCCTTGAAATAGTGCATCACTCGCTCCCGCCGGCCATCTGGCCCTGCTGGCGAATTCGGCCGGCTGACCTTGCGTTTCCGGCACACCAGGCTGGCAGCGGTGATGAGCTGGATGGCATAGCGCAGTGACGTCTCCAGCCCGATGCGGGTCAGCACTGTGTAGGCGTCCTCACTCATCTCCACATCTTCCTCCTCACACCTGCAGGCAGTGGGGGTGGGATGGCTTAGCCAGGCCTGGTCTCTGACTACAACAGGAGTGGCCGAAGCCACCCTCTGGCCCTTCCCCCCTGGGAATATGTGGTGCCTGCATCTTAGAATCACAGAATGCTGAGGCTGGGAGAGCTATGGAGACAGGGGCTGCGCTGGAACCTAGGGCTCCTGACCCCACCCAGAGTGCTGACCCCCACACCAGTCACAGCATCTCACCTCCCTTCCACACAGTGGCACCTGCCCTCAAATTGGTGGCCATTTGGCCCTCTCTCTTGCAGGCCCAGCAACCATGCCACCCCCCAGACCTCAGTGTCAGCATTTGTCCCACAGGGTGGCCCCCAGCCCTCCCTCTCAGGCACACGGCCTGGTCCTGCCCGCACCGGATGCGGAGGATCTGCTTCGTGTCTTTCTCGCTGTAGGGGGAGGTGGAGACGATGAGCAGCCGGTCCAGCAGGTCAATGGGGATGCCATGGGGGCTCTGGTAGCTGGTGCCCCGGATCCTGTGGATGAGGCAGAAAGAGGGGCTGTCAGGGTGATGTTCCCTCTTCATTCCCTCTGCTGGAAACACTCCCACCTCACACCACCACTCACTCACTGGGCCAAACACCACTTAACCTTTAGCTCGTGCCTCCTGTCACCTGATGACATCACCCTCTGATGGCGAAGCCTTCCACAACGGTGTCAGCACCCCCAACGGCACTCTTCCACAGAGCCGGGCTGCTTTAAGCTAGATCTCTGCCTCCAGGATTACTGGATCGAGCCCTCAACTCCTGTGCTGGACGTAAAGCTCCACAAAGGAGGGGACTGCACGTGTCTTGTTCCCTGCTGCAGTGGGGCCAGCCCAGGGCTGGTGCCAGGGGATACAGCTAGGTCTCCTTATTCACAGTAGTGAAGTTCCAGAAAGTCACCATGAACACACCAACTAGCCAATCCTGAAGCATCGCTCCTAGTGGAGCACAGTGTTAAGCTCTCAAGCCCCTAGTCACAACATTTTCATCAACCAATATACATGGAACGTTGGTCTATGTGTGTTTCATTTATGTGTGTTTCTAGTTTTTTCATTTGTTTGTTTTTTGAGACAGAGTCTCGCTCTGTCGCCAGGCTGGAGTGCAGTGGGGCGATCTTGGCTCACCGCAACCTCCGCCGCCCGGGTTCAACCAATCCTCCTGCTTCAGCCTCCTGAGTAGCTGGAACTACAGGCGTGTGCCACCACGCCCAGGTAAATTTTTGTATTTTTAGTAAAGGCAGGGTTTCACCATGTTGGCCAGGATGGTCTTGATCTCTTGACCTTGTGATCCAACTGCCTTGGCCTCCCAAAGTACTGGGATTACAGGCATGAGCCACCGTGCCCGGCCTCATTTCTGTGTGTCTATTATGTAATATCACTGTTGATTCTCTTTTTTTTTTTTTTTTGAGACGGAGTTTCACTCATGTTACCCAGGCTGGAGTACAATGGCGCGATCTCGGCTCACCGCAACCTCCGCCTCCTGGGTTCAGGCAATTCTCCTGCCTCAGCCTCCTGAGTAGCTGGGATTACAGGCACGCACCACCATGCCCAGCTAATGTTTTTGTATTTTTAGTAGAGACGGGGTTTTACCATGTTGGCCAGGATGGTCTCGATCTCTTGACCTCGTGATCCACCCGCCTCGGCCTCCCAAAGTGCTGGGATTACAGGCTTGAGCCACCGCGCCCGGCCATCACTGTTGATTCTCTAACATGGAGCTCATGCCAACAGCATTCTAACATGGGCTCAGCAAAGTGTCCGCTATTGCCTCTGTCAGGCTAGACAGCAGTTCAGCACGGTGTTCAGGGAACACTTCACACAGCAAAATCACCAACAAATGGCCCTAAAAAAGTTAAAAAGAAAAAAAAGGCACAAAAAACTGACAACACTTTGGGAGGCTGAGGCAAGCAGATCACTTGAGCCCAGGAGTTTGAGACTAGCCTGGGCAACATGGTGAAACCCCACCTCTACAAAACATACAAAAGCAACAGCAAAATAATAGGCCGGGCGCAGTGACTCACGCCTGTAATCCCAGTACTGCGGGACGCGGAGGTGGGCGGATCACATGAGGTCAGGAGTTCAACACCAGCTTGGTTAATACGGTGAGACCCCATCTCTACTAAAAACAGAAAAATTAGCCGGGCATGGTGGCGGGTACCTGTAATCCCAGCTACTCAGCAGGCTGAGGCAGGACAATTGCTTGAATCCAAAAGGCAGAGGTTGCAGTGAGCCGAGATCGCGCCACTGCACTCCAGCCTGGGCAACAGAGCGAGACTCTGCCTCAAAACAAAAACAAAAACAAAAACAAAACAAAAACAAAGATTAGCCAGGCGTAGTGGTGCACACCCATGGTCCCAGCTACTGAGGAGGCTAAGGACAGAGGATTGAGGCCGGGGGTGAGGGGGTGATGTGTCTGTGTGTGTTTGTGTGTGGTGGGCATTGAGGCTGCAATAAGCCATGATCGTGCCACTGCACTCCAGCCTGGGTGACAGAGCACGACCCTGTCTCAAAAACAAAAGCGACAAACGTAACACTCAACAGAATACAACGAGGACACTTACTTATGACATGAGAGCTAAAGGGAGCGGACAGCCTGGCCTCATTCACACTTTTGGGAAAGTAGGTGTCGGGTGGCTTGAATCTGTTGCCCGAAAGCAGGGCAGATATTTATTTGGGGATTAGAAATGAATCTTAGCAAGCGAACAGGTTCTCAAATGCGGAGTCTGCTAACACTCAGGGCTGCTCGTTGCTGCCGTCTCTGCATAGGAGGTGCCCTGGGCAGTCCCCAGGCCTGACCTGCAGCTGCTTCAAGCACCCCATCCGCCCTGGGGGTCTCTTCCAGTGCCCTGCTACCCAGAGACCAAGTTTGGACCTTGCCACCTTCTAGACGACCTGTGACCTGAGCAAGCCACTGGGCCTCACTGTCCTGCCCTGTAAAATGGGTCAAAGGTGATACTTACCTTCTGAGCTTCTGAGGATCCAAGGAGTTAAAAAGAGCCAAACCCAGAGCCAGGCACAGCGGCCCACCATCCTCTGTAGGATGCCTACTTCTTCCGTTTTTTTTTTTTTTTCCTTGAGACAAGAGTCTTGTCCTGTCTCCCAGGCTACAGTGCAATGGCGTAATCTTGGCTCACTACAACCTCCACCTCCCGGGTTCAGGTGATTATCCTGCCTCAGCCTCCAGAGTAGCTGGGATTACAGGTACATGCCATCATGCCTGGCTAATGTTTTGTATCTTTAGAAGAGATGGGGTTTCACTATGTTGGCCAGGATGGTCTGGAACTCTTGACCTCATGAGCTGTCCACCTCAGCCTCCAAAAGTGCTCGGATCCCAGGTGTGAGCCACGGCGCCCGGCCCGCTTCTTCCCTTTTGTGATGCACGCCCCAACCGCCCGGTTTCT